AGAAATAATAATATATCTCGAAATATTTGATTGAATTGATCAGTTTCACTATAGAGATAGCAATAATCGAAATGGAAACGATACCAGAATAATTTTCTTTGTTGATTTGATAATTGAAATGAATTTTTAAATATATTCATCGATTTTATTGATAATTGTTTAAAACGAATACGAAAAAATTCAATAATAAACACAAAGTTAATTAACGTTATTAATGAATCGCCAATAATAAATATAGTATGAGAAACGTAAAATAGAAAAAATAATGATGTCATTATTAATTTAATCAAATTGATTTGTTCACATTGATATAGATAAAAAACGAAAACATCTGCAACAAAATAAATAACAGTTATTCCAATGGAAAAAATTTTATATGAAATATTTGCAATAAAATGTGATTTTCGATAAAATTTTATCAAATAATTTCGATATTCGGGTAATAATTCACAATCATCATATTGACAATATTTCAATAGAAATTCTGTTATTTTTGATTTATATTTGATTAATTCAAACAAATGATAATAATATAAACATTCACGTAAAACAAATACAATAAACATTTCGATAACAATAAAATCATTTCTATTTGAATGAACAATTTTATCGAATGTTTCGACACTAATAAAATAATCATTTTTTGGCCATATTACAACAATAAAAAGAAATAATATTATTAACCATCCATTCAATGTTATTAAAATGGCTCGTTTGATCAATGAAAATGTCCAAGAAATATTTTTTTGTTCATAATCAATTAGGTTATAATCGATACGTAATGAATGAAATTTGATTAATTGCAAAATTTGTTTGAAAAAATGTTTAATTTTAACATTTTGATCTGATTTTGTGAATAGATTCATGATGTTCACTGTTTTTGTTTCTTTTTTCGATAACCAATATCATAAATGTCACATTTATATATGACAAATATTGTCATTCAGACAATATTTATATCGAAAATTTTCATTGAAAATTTTTTTGTTTTTGTTTTATTAACGTTGCTAAGAACTTTTTAATAATAATAAACAAAAGAATATCATCAAATGATTTTAATTTTGAAAAAAAAAATTTACTTACATTAAAAATAAATATATTCTAATGATAAATCGATCGATCGATTAATCGATCAGTAAAAAGAAAAAAAAACAATATTTAAAAATAACATAAAATCTATTGCATATATACTTGTCACAAGGAAAATGGGAATGGAAAAACCAAAACAGTTGATTACCGTACAATAATCATATTGGTTTTGAAAAATTTGAATCAATGATTTGTTCATTTTGAATAGATTTTCTATATTAGCAAGCAATGACTAACCTAGACAAAACAAAAGCAAATGTGTTTTCATTTGGTTTGCGATAAACAAATTTTTTTATAGAATTTGATTGCCATATGAAAACTCAAGATAAACATTTGAATGTATTTGAATTTAGATATGAAAAACATACGACCACAAGTAAAACCAAATTGATTTCTGGTCATCGATTGTAGAAATAGACGTGATTTAATTGAATATCTTAGTGGAAATCTATTGAGTAATTTTCTTTGATCCAAATTTAACCATTGTAATCGAGCAATCCAACGATGTACGGATAGCCAACATAATCGATTATATGATGGTATATGAGCTATACGAAAATTTAAGATGTTTATTGTAATAAACAGCGATATAAATAGAAATGTAGTAAGTGTATTTTGCATTCGCATCTTGGTTTGATGACTATAAAATAATAAACCAATTACGACTACAGATTTTGACATCAATTCAAAGAATAATAATATATTTCGAAGTGTTAAATTGAATTTGTCAGCTTCACTATAAAGATAGACATAATCAGAATGAAATCGAAACCAGAATAATTTTCTTTGTTTATTTGATAATTGAAAATTTGAATTTTTTAATATATTCATTGTTTTCAATGATAATTGCTTGAAACGTATTTGAAAAAATTCAACGAAAAATACAATGATGATTAAAATCTTAAATGAATCACCAATTAGAAAAATACAATAACAAACGTATATTGTAAGAAATATTGTTGTTATTATTAATTTCATCAATTTGATTTGACCACCTAGATATAGATAAAAAACAAAAAAAGTTGCCAAAAAATAAACAGCCAATATTTGAATGATAACCATTCGATAAGAAATAATGACAATAAAACGAGATTTTCGATAAAATTGTATTAAATAATTACGAAATTTCAATAATAATTCATTATCATCATATTGACAATATTTAATTATAATTTCTGTTATTTTTGATTTAAATTTGATTAATTCAAACAAATGATAATAATATAAACATTCACGTAATGCAAATACTATTATCGTTTGGATAACAATAAAATCATTTCTATTTGAATTAAAAATTTTATCAAATATTTCAATACTAATTAAATAATCATTTTGTGGCCATATTATAATAATCAAAAGAAATATTATATTCATCCATACAATCAATGTAATAAAAATGGCTCGTTTGATCAATGAAAATGTCCAATAAATATTTTTTTGTTCATAATCAATCAAATCATAATCGATACGTAATGTATAAAATTTAATTGATTGAAAAATTTCTTGAAAAAATTCATTTATTTTCAACATTTTTAATTATTATTATAATTAGGATTCTATATTAATAAATTATTATTATTGCTGTTGTTGATTGAATATGAAAAACATGAATATCATGAATGATATTATCAAATATTACATAATAATATTTTTCAAGAACAAAAAAAAAATGCAAAACATACGTTGCTAAGAACTTTTTGATAATAATGGAATTTTTTCATTCATTTTATTTTTTCTCATTTCATTCAAACAATGTTTTAATAGATTTTTATATACAAAAAAAAAACAAACAAATCATGAATCATATGATATTCTTATTCTGTATATTCATTGTAATGTAAATATTAATCAGTAAAAATCAAAAAAAAAAAACAAACAAACATGGTATCTATTTCATTATATATAATTTTTTTCATCAAAAATAAAAAAAAAATCATTGAATTCATTGAATCAATGTTATTGATATTTTAAACAATTTTCAAGATAATACAAAAAAAAAACAACAACAATCAGTTTTTCATTTGTTTTTGTGATAGGCAAATTTTTTTATAGAATTTAATGGCCATATGAAAATTCAAGA